AAAGTGGCGGCAAAATAGCCACTCATTTGAATGTATGTGAGTTCGCAATGGAGTGATGAGTGCACTGAACATACGGTCCCTTTCGCTGCACTTCACTCACTGAATGGGTGTTTGAAAAACATTGCAATCAATTGATTGACAGATAATTGCAATCAAAGTATTATTGTTTCATAAATTGCTTATAGTTTTGGTTGACGTCAAGAGTGTCCGCAGATATGGATAACAAGGTCTCATCCAATGCTAACACAGCGGTCGACCCGAAAGAGGCCAAAGACGTGGTTCAGTTCGTAAGTGATGACAATGAGTGTGACATACAGTATATGAAGACATTGATTGATAATTGCGGTCATGTTTGGCTGACCATAGGTGCAGACGCTGTTGCAATCAGTTGAGGACAAGTTTCAGCAGATGTCTGACCAGATCCTGAGCCGCATCGACGAGATGGGCCACCGGATCGACGACTTGGAGCACAACCTCAACGAATTGGTCGCGCAGTCGGATCTCACCGAAGACAACGTCAACACCAATCATATGATTAACTCAAACGCTCAACAAATGAATAAATAAAATGTAATCTTCTCTCCGTTTAAATCATAACTTTATTATTAATATGATTTTGTATTTAAATATTTTGTTTTTCATATTTAATTCCAGTTATCCATACAAATAGCGTATAAAATCATTATAAATCGTGTAATATATTAAAATAATTTGTAGTAAACTTTTAATTCACTTGAATTGTTAACATTACCCGATGGACAGGTGTCTGAGCCTGTGGTGCAGCTAATTATCTGTAGATTGTCTGCGAGTAATAGCTGCGAATTCGGGACATCTTTCAGGGCATCTGATATGGGATTCTCTGTAATCAATAGTTTCTCCAAATGTTTAGATGGACTCAAATTTGTCAAACTTTTCAATTCGTAGATTTCTGTTTAATAATCAATAATTTGTGAATAATTTTGTAATTAATGACTCATTTTTCATTAAAAACTTACTGTTTTTGTTGAGAGACAAAACTCTCAATTTATTGAACTTCACGTCCGCATCGATTGTGTAAATATTATTTGAATCCAGTATTAAGACTTCGAGTGACAATAAATGATTGAATGTTTTGCTCAATTTAAGCAATTGATTATCACTTAAATCCAGTGTTTGAATGTGTGCCAAACGATTGCAATCATATAAAGCCGTAATATTTAACTTATTCAGCGATACAGAGGCCATGGATTGAATGCTATCCATTCTCTCATTCAAAGTGGTTTTACTTTCTATAAATATTTAATACCCATAACTAAACTGAACTCAAATGAATTAAACAAAAATTACTTAAGTCTTTATAATAGTTGGTTCTCAAGGGATCCAATTTGATGAGCTGATCAAATATAGAGTTTACGTGCACTCTATTGGGCTCAGTCCAGGCCAGAGTTAGGTTAACCCCTGAAACAATATTTCGT